AAACTCTCCTGAATTCTCCTTCCCTGTCATTTCCTTTCATATGGGTCTTTCATATACCTCTTCCAGGTTTTCAAGGATAATGGATATCCAAAAAAACTGGGTCAGAAGATGCCTACACCAACAGCATCAGGAAGATACTACACGTCCCGACACACTACCCTACATCAGGAACACATCAGAACTCACCACAAGACTCCTACGACCGCTGGGCATCAGAGTGGCACACGAGTCCACATCAACCCTACGACAACTGCTCACCCAAACTAAAGACCCACTCCCCGCCACGGACAGGGTCAGTGTCATCTCAAAGATCCCCTGCAGAGACTGCGAGAAACACTACATCGGACAAACAGGAAGGAAACTAACAACAAGGGTACACGAACACCAACTGGCTACAAAAAGGCACGGCCAATGCTCGCTCATCTCAATCCACATGGACAAGGAGAACCACGACTTTGACTGGGACAACGCCAAGATCCTGGGACAGGCTAAGCGGAGACAGGCACGGGAAGTCCTAGAAGCATGGCACTCCACGAAGCAAGCCGTTAATAAACACACAGAACTCGAGCCCGTATACGCTCCGCTACGAAGGAAAACCGGAAGTGAGGCAATCCAGCTCGATGGACCACAGTGTTTAAAAACCTGGCGGGAGAACACACCGACGCTTCATCGGAGGCTGCGCTGAGGGTGTTACCCAGCACGGTAACGAAACGCCTGCGAAACGAGAAACCGGGCTCGGCGAGCCAACCAACCTCAATATCTAGAGTTGAGGGCCTCATGATGACCGTGAATCTATTGTCTTTTAGGGAAGGAAACTGCCATCCTTACCTGGTCTGGCCTACATGTGACTCCAGACCCACAGCAGTGTGGTTGACTCTTAACTGCCCTCTGGGCAATAAATGCTGCCTGGCCAGCAACGCCCTCATCCCGAGAATGAAAAAAGGATTGATAAGCGAGAGACTGCAGGCGACATACAAGCGAGGCGAACATATTGAACAGATCGGAGATGCTGTGAAATCTTTAGTCAGTTAGAAAGGTATGCAGATCCCAGGATTTCTTTCACGTCGCTGCTCCGGGACAACTGAACATTTGATCAGTAAACCAGAGGGGAAATCTCAGGTCAGACGATGCATTTTGGGTGTGAGGCCTTGTTTAGAGTATGGCTGCGTATCAAACTGGAGACAGAATGGTTTTATTTCTAACGTAGGGATTTGTGAAAAGCCACATTGTCTGAGCAGAAGTTGTGTGTTTTTTGAGCAAAACAGAATGTGCCTGCAAATACAAATCTGCAAATTCACCCTGTGGATTTGTGTGTGTGTGTGAGAGAGAGAGAGGGTTCAAGAGACCTCCCCAGATACAGGAGTGTGTGTGAGAGGGAGTGTGTGAGAGAGAGGGTCTGTGTGAGTGTTTCTATGAGAGAGTGTGTGTGCGTCTGTGAGATAGAAAGGGTGTCAGAGAGACCTCCCCATATACAGGACTGTGCGTGAGAGAGAGTCTGTGTGAGTGTTTCTGTGAGAAGAGTATGTGAGGAAGAAAGGGGATAGGAGAGATCCCCCCATATACAGAGGAGTGTGTGTGAAAGAGTGGATCTGTGTGAGTGTTTCTGTGAGAGAGAGTGCGTGCGTGAGGTAGAGAGGGTGTCAGAGAGACCTCATCAAATACAGGAGTGTGTGTGAGAGGGAGTGTGTGAGAGAGACAGGGTCTGTGAGAGTGTTTATATGAGAGAGAGTGTGTGTGTATGTGAGATAGAGGTGGGGTTAGAGTGACCTCCCCATATACAGGACTATGTGTGAGAGAGAGTCTGTGTGTTTCTGTGAAGAGTGTGTGAGGAAGAGAGGGGATTGGAGAGACCTTCCGACATACAGAGGAGCGTGTGTGAGAGAGAGCGGATCTGTGAGTGTTTCTGTGAGAGAGAAAGTGTGCGCGTGAGAGAGAGAGAGGGTTAGAGAGACCTCCCCATGTAAAGGAGTGTGTGTGAG